GAGCAGTTCTTCATGTTGCTGAATGACAGGAGCTGGTAGCCTTTCTTCTTGGCAGCATCAGTTGTTTTGCATGGACCCCAAATGAAATGTTCAGAGTCGATCCGGTAGTGGTTGTACATCAATCAAATGTGGACCCGAAGACCCTGCCTGTTGTACAAAGAAGTCACCGATCGTCTGTTGAGCATACCATAGCAGTTGTTGAGGAAGTTAACAAATTATTGGAGGTTAGGGCAATATGGGAAGTGACTAATCTCACTTAGTTGTCCAACACTGTGGTGGTAAAGAAGAAGACGAGGATGTGGAGGTCTTATGTTGACTTCACGAATTTGAATAAGGCTTGTCAAAAGGATTGTTTTCTGGTTTCTCGAATTGATCAACTTGTGGATGCCACTGCATTTCACTAGAGAATGAGTTTCTTGGACACTTATCGGGCTATCATCAAATTGTCATGGACCCAGCCAACCAAGAAAAAATAACGTTTCTCACTCTAAGGGGAACCTATTGCTACAAGGTCATGCCTTTTGGACTAAAAAATGTCGAGGCAACTTACCAGAGGCTGGTTACCACCATGTTCAAAGACCAACTCAACAAAACTATGGAAGTGTATATTGATGATATGGTAGTGACGTCCAAAGAAAAGAGTGCTCATTTATCCGATCTTGCGACCACTTTTGACATACTTTGGAAGTACAAGATGAAACTCAATGCCTCAAAGTGTGTGTTTGGCATTGGCTCGGGCAAATTTCTTGGCTACGTCATGAATCACAGTGGAATAAAAGCCAATCCAAAGCAAATTAAGGCCATAATGAAACTCAGCTCTCACTGAATTGTTAAAGAGGTCTAGAAATTGATGGGCATAGCCGCAACATTGAATAGATTCATTAGCAAATCTTCTGATTGATGTAGGCCATTCTTTCAGGCTTTTTAGCAAAGCAAGTTGTTTAAGTGGACTCCAAAATGTCAAGAAGCTTTGAAGGGGCTAAAAACTTATCTCAGCTTCATCTCATTGTTGTCGACTCCAGAGCTAGGTCTTGAACTTGTTTTATACTTGGTAGTGTCAGATCATGCAGTTGTCGTCCTTCTCTGGGAAGAGCTCAACAAGTAGAGACCTATTTTATACGTCAGCAAAATAATGGTCGATGCAGAAACTCGGTATCTACCCTTGGAAAAGTTGATCCTAGCCCTTGTGGTAGCAACCATGAAATTGATGCATTATATCCAGGCCTAAACCATGAAGGTATTGACAGACCACCCCTCTTACTTAATACTTTGCCGAGTTGAGTCTTCTAGACGAGTGTCTAAGTGGGCACTAGAACTTGGGTAGTATGACCTTAAGTTTTTACCAAGGTCATCCATTAACGGTCAAGTCATTACCAATTTCCTTGCTGAATTCACTAAACTGATAACGCTCGATGCCGAATTAAGCACACCAAGTCAATCGGACTCTCGTCCACAGGAATTGTGCATGTACATGGGGGATGTATGGTAATTATATTGTGATGGATTGTCAAACTAGTGGGTAGTGGGGCATCAGTAGTTATTATGACCCTAAAGGGAGTCGTAATTGAGCAGTCAATCAAGCTTGGCTTTAATGCCTCAAATAACGAAGTCAATTATAAAGCTCTCTTTATTGGCCTAAAGAATTCTCTCCAAATGGTAGCCAAGCATCTACAAGTCTACTACGACTCTAAGTTGCTCATTAATTAGTTAAAAGGTGAATATGCTGCAAGAAATGATCGACTGGCGGCCTATATACGAACGACCAATGCTTTGTTAAGAAAATTTGATAGCCACTTTGTTGAAAAAATTTGATAGCCATGAACTAAATCAATTAACCTGGGATCAAAATACTTATGCTGATGCTTTGGCATGTCTGGCCTCAACTTTCAACTTGGAGGTCAAGCATATCATTGAAATGAGTTTTGTTCCAACACCCAGTTTTGATCTAATGCAAAAGCCCTTTGTACTTGTAATCTAGAGGGGTCTGAGTTTGATGGATCCTATAGTTACATTTCTAACTTCTAAACAGCTACCAAAGGATAACGAAGAGGCTCACAACTACGTAACAAGGCCCTAAGATATTATCTTAACCCCGAGGGAAAATTATACAATAAATCTCTTTCGAGGCCTTACCTTGAGTGTGTCCATTCGGACAAGATAAAAGATTTCCTCGCTAAAATTCATGAGGGAAGTTGTGGTACCCCTTCGAGAGGTAGATCATTGGTTCATAGGTTAGTGACTCAAGGATATTAGTGGCCGACCATGCGTGTTGATGTAGAATAATATATTAAAAAATGTGAGCAAAGCCAAAGGTTTTCTCATTTTAAGCACTTGTTTGCCGAAGACCTTACTTGTTTGACTAGTCCCTGGCATTTTGCTCAGTGGGGATTAGACATCGTGGGATCACTACCGAGAGCACCAGGGAATAAATAGTTTTTTATCGTTGTAACCTATTATTTCACCAAGTGGGTAGAGGTAGATATGTTGGCCAATATAAGGGATATAGATGTCAGATGTTTCGTATGAAAGAGTTTATAACATGATTTGGCATCCCAAGGCAGTTATATTGATTATGAGACTCAGTTTGATTGCAGGGTTTATTGTGAGTTGTGTGATATGTATAGGATTCAGCCTTAGTTTTCTTCACTGGCTCATCCACAAAGCAACGTCCAAGCTGAGGCCTCTAACAAAGTCGTTCTGGACAGCATCAAGAAGTGTTTGGAGAAAGCAAAGGGGTATGGGTAGAAAAGTTTTCCCAGTGTGCTTTGGGCGCATCGAACAAGGCCGAGAAGATCCACCGAGGAAACCTCGTTTTCCATGTCCTTCGATAAAAAGGAAATCATACCCCTCAAAATTGGACTACCATCTCTCTGAACTAGGGCCTTCGATACTGGTGAGAATGATATGATGCTAGCACTTGATATGGATTTAATTGAAGAAGGATGAGATAGGGTACTGGTCAAATTGGCCCGATATCTATAGCAGTCGGTTATGTTTTACAATCAAAGGATGCAAATTTGCTATTATATGCCTAGGGAATTGGTCTTAAAGAAAGTTTTGCCTGCTAGAAAAAACCCCACCAACGGCTAGCTTAGCCCAAATTGGGATGACCCTTATCAGATAGATTCCATTGGCAGGGCAAAAGCATATCATCTATCAGATATGAGTGGCAAGAAATTACCCCCGCCTTGGAACTCTAAGCATTTGTATAATTTACTATTAATATAAGTTTTTTGGTTTTCTACTTTTTTGTAATTAATAACTTTGTATCATTTTGTACAGGCAATCAATGACATGGAATGTACTATTCACAATCCTTGCAATGTTTGTGATTGATCCCCGCATAAAGCCAATAAAAGATTCTGAATTCAGAGCACTCTTTGTACTCAGCACAGAGTGCCATCAATAAAAGCCTCCACATTTGGAGAAACGTAAGCTATAGACATTATTTGCAACACAAGTAACCTTTAAATTCATTTTATTAAGAAAACAGGTACAAATTACTTGACATAAATGGAAATTACATTATGAGTTTACATATAAAAGAATAGATAACCAGATTTGTCTGTTTGAACCTAAGAATCAAATTGGGCCTTCATCTTTGTCATCTGTCTTCTCAGCATCATATGTCTCAAATGAAATTATGAAGTCCTTAGAGTGGAGACTCAACATTTGTACCCACCGATTGAAGGGCCTTCGTCTATCCATGCTTGAATCTACTATTTTCACATTAGCAGAGGTCATTGGCGAGCTTTTTAATGGTTGTTTTCATGCTGAGCGCATTCCCTTCTAAAAACCCATGGTTATAAGCTTCGCTTTGGTGATGGTCCGTCAAGAAAAATTGTGCCGTTTCTATATCAGATAAGGCACGATCCATTTGGCGTTGTACTCCTTTGTTTTGGGCCATTGCCAATCAATAGCCCCTGCCGTTTTTTGTTCTGCCACTCTGGCTTTCGGACCTCTGATTTGGCCTTTGTCTCGCCTTCGGCCAACCGCTGCTCTAAGTTCTAAATTAATCCGTCTTTTTGCCCAATTTTGGCCTGGGCAGTACGAATACGCATGCCAATCTCGTGTGAACTATAGAGCCCCCTTACGATCTCATGAATGCCTTGTTGAAACATTTCATAGTCGTTCAAGTTGGTTAATGACCTTTCAACTTTTTCAAGGAAGATTTGGCGTGCAAAGTCCACGGCTACATTGGGATCGTTGACCAATAAAGTCACCTCTATCATTGGCATGTTCCTAATAAAAATTGTGAAGCTCAAAAGACGAGACAGCCTACTCAGCTCGCCTATAATCGGGGTGCCAGCTGTCCTGTTACCCTCTTTGTTACGTCCATTCCCTCTAGGAGATTTGTTTCACTGCTCCTGTGGATCGAAGCTCCGATGACATTACAACAAATTGCATTTTTGGCGACTAAATACTTAGTCACCAAAAGTCAGATTTTGGTCGCCGAAACATTTTCCCGACTTAACTTTTTCGTCACTAGCTTTGTCGCGGGAGGATTGTCGGGGAAGGTATTGGCAACTAAAAAATATTCAGTCACCAAAAGTCCTAAATTGGCGACTAATTTTTAGTCGCCAAAAGTAAAGGTATTGGCGACAAAAAAAATCTTTAGTCGCTAAAAGGCTAAATTGACGACTAATTTTTTAGTCGCCAAAAGCTTAAAATTAAATTTAATATCACATTTTCAGCTACTAAAATTTTTATCACCAAAAGGTGAATTATGTAGGGCAACCAAAGTTTTAGTCGCAAATTTTCTATTTTTTGTTCATCTTTCTTTTTTTAGCTACTAAATGTTTAGTCACCTAAAGTCTAATTTTTTTGTTAAGCTACTAAAATTTTAGTCGCCTATCCCACACAACCTGTAATAGGTATGAAAACAAAACAATACATATATGTTATCACCCATTCCACAACACACATTTCACTTACAACCATAAAAAAAATAAAAAAATAAAAAGAAAAAAAAAAGAAGAAGAAGAAGAATAACTTTTAATGGCAAATTCTATACAAACCAAGTATTTCCAACTGAAAATAATAATTTCATACAGAACAAATAAGCATACAAAAATCATGTCCTCCATCAAAAGCTTATTCATTGCAGTTAACTTCCTATTCACAATTTGAAGACTGGATGCCTCCTTTCGCTGCTTCTCTCTACATCTGTGTATAGGAATTATACATAACACCATAGCAATACAAATTAATTAATGATCAAACATCAAAAGACACCGTAAAAGGTGAAAAAATTTCAATCAGAAATTAGATTTGAATTCCATAAACTACCTTTGGTTCTGAAACCAAACTTTGATCTGCTTTGGATCAATGTTGGAGAGAATTCGGCATTCGTGAATCAGCTATTGCCGACAAAGTGAACTCAGTTTAGGGCATTCATGGTAAACCCTTTCGAGGGCTTTGACTTGCTCTGGCATGGACCTCATATATTTTCCATTGTCCATTCCCATTTTACTCTCTTTGCAGGACGAAGTCACCCCCATCATCACTTCAAAATTTTAAAACAACAAAAAATCCTCAATTTGCACAAACCAAACATAAACCCTTAATTTATTTTTATTTTTTTTTCAAATCTTTTTGCCAATTAAACACCAATCTAATCCTAAATCAGCAGAGTATCAAAATCCTAAATCTACAAATTCTGAACTCTCTAAATCAAACAAGCATATTGGAAACACTAATCTATAGTTCCTAAAATCAAACCAAGCAATCCTCTACCTCTGCTAATATTCAACAACTCAAATACCCAAAAGTTGATACCATTCAAAGATTATTATGACCACACAGACAACTATACATACATATATTTATCTAAACTAGTGGCCTCACCACTATTTGTGAGGGAGGAGCCGTCGATCGAGCTTCTGTGGGTAATGAATCTTAAGCGACAGTGACCAACAAGAAGGTGAATCGGTGCTCCGGTTGCTGGCGAACGTAAAGAGGACCAGCGGAGGAGAGTTGTTCCGTAGCTGGTGGAGCGGCGGTGAGAGTGAGAGGGGAGAGGAGCAGTAGAGAGAGAGAGAGAGAGAGGAAAAGAGAGAGAGAGAGAGACATTGAAGAGAGAAAGGCGCAGGTTTTTTTTGGTTTGGGTTTGGAAACAATATATATATATATATATATTTATTGGTCATTTTACACAATTCGCGACTAAACATTTTGGTCGTCAATTAATTTTATAAATCCCTCCAAAATTTAAAATGTCTCCCTCCAAATTTTTTAGAGGAGCAGTAGAGAGAGAGAGAGGAAAAGAGAGAGAGAGAGAGACACTGAAGAGAGAAAGGCGCAGGTTTTTTTTGGTTTGGGTTTGGAAACAATATATATATATATATATGGTTATTGGTCATTTTACACAATTCGCGACTAAACATTTTGGTCGTCAATTAATTTTATAAATCCCTCCAAAATTTAAAATGTCTCCCTCCAAATTTTTTAGTTCTTTGGCTACTAAAATATTTTTTAGTCACTGAAAATAAATTTTTGGTAACCAAACTTCTGGACGCCAAAGATAAAAAGTAAATTTTTATTTTTCATTCGGCGACTAAATAACTTTAGTAGCCAAAACTAATTACATAGCGACTAAAATATTTTTTAGTTGCTGAAAATAAATTTTTGACGACCAAACTTTTGGTCACCAAAGATAAAAATTAAGTTTTTGTTTTTCATTCAGTGACTAAATAATTTTAGTAGCCAAAATTAACTATACAGTGACCAAAAATTATTTTAGTCGCCAATTATGGCATTTTTAGCGACTAAATTTTTTTTAGTCGCCAATAATCAATATACCTTGACTAAAAAAAATTAGTAGCTAAATATTGTACTTTTGCCGACTAATATAATTTTTGGTCGCCAATTCCACAACTTTTGGCAACTAATTTTTTTTTAGTCGCCAAATTTGGTCGCCAAAAGTGCAATTTGTTATAGTGTGAGGTTCGTAGGGTGATCGTCGTTAATTTTTTTCCTTCATTTCCACTAGACCTTTGTGACTAGAATTGTCATGCAACTGTTGTTCCATCGCTAGGTCCAAATCAGCGAGGCTTCTCGTTTTACCTCTACTATTGAAGAAGACACCTCCAGCATTCCAGAAGGGTTTCAGTGGTTCTTATATGAGAATGTTTTTCATTGTTTTTTAATCGATCAAGCACTCTTTAAAACGTGGGAGCAGTGGGTTGCGGTTTTCACTAGACAAATGAATTCTCCCACTTCAAACATCTATTAAAGCCACCAATAGAATCAGCCAGGCACGCATTCCTCTAAATAGCCATTTCCTTTTCAAAGTACTTGGATGATTGCCACATGTCAGACAGATTATCGCTTCATCTAGCTTGCGCATCACCGTTTATTAGGCCAACTCTATGATTATTGGCTTCTGTTGGAACAGTTTTTATTTCCTAATCGGGGCAAGGGCATAACGATTTCCATTTATTCGGCAAAGGTTCCCCTGTTTGTAAAATTAAGTGCTCATTGTTGAGTTCATGAATACAGTTAAATAGGCAACATATGTTCCTCTATTTTTAAAGTGCTCACTGCCGAGTTCATATATACAGTTCATTTGGCAACAGTTCTCCCATTTGAGAACTTCTATTCCTAGCGCCGATTTGGTGGACAGTAAGTTGGTGTGTTTCCCCCTAAAAATGTCATTCAGCGAGAAACATACGTCATTCGGCAAGAAATGTATATTGTTATATTATCATATTTACAATAGGTGTGACCTATTTGAACTCATGTTTCCAAGCTTAAACATAATTGTTTCGTTCAAAATTTTACCAAGCCATGATTATCAAGTGTTCGAGCGTAACATTATTTGTTTGGCAGCAATATTAACTGAGTATGATTTAGTAAAAAAAGTTGTTTTCATTGATAAATTGAATTAGTACAAATCATTTTTCAAATGAAAATAACCCTATCTAAGAGCACAACAACAACCTAAAAAATAAAAACAACAAAACCAAAATACAGAAAGCATATGTAAAGTAAGTCAGCATCTCAACTACTCGGGGTTAGAGTTAAGAACTTCAACGCCTTCATTTTAAACGGGATTGGCACATCCAAAGTAACCTTGGCTACTGCAAGGGCCTTTGTCTATCCATGCTTAAACCCTCTGTTTTCAAACCTTTGCACTTTGTCGGCGTAGTAGTTCATTGTTAGCTTTTCCCCCTTCTTGAATGCATCAGTTGCTGCTTGTTGTACCTCAGTGATTTGAGCTCTCACCTTTCGCAGATCCTTTTCAGCCACCTTACACGATGCTTCAACAGTTGTCATTTTTTCTTTAGCAGGAAGGTGAAGCTTCTCGATGTTTTCAGTCTGCTCAGCCTCCGTTATGGTTCGCTTGGCCGCAGCGCTCTTAGTTGCAACTACAAGGTCAGTAACTTTCATATGAACTTTCTTCTCTTTAGACACAACTTGTTCATTGAGCTGGCTAATCAGGGTCACTACTTGGCAATGTTGACGACCAATGTCAGCGATCCTCTGGACAACTTGCAAATAAAGTATTAGAATCAGGTTAACCAACACAAATTACAAATATATGACCATAATTCGGCAGAGTACTAACCAAAATCATCGATTGAGTCACCATGGCAATGGCAACCACATCATGTTTACCCCTAAATATCTTTTTGTCTGCTGGAAGCATGATAGCATTAGCCAGACTTAGGGCAATGTAGGTATCCTTGAACACGAAAGCGCTCATCAGCGTGTTGGCATCCTTGACCATTGGAAAAATCACAAAAGGCTGCATGATGTCCAGTGTCAGGGAGACGCGTACCTTTTTCTTCGTAGGTTCGCTCGACTCGACAGGGCGTTTCGAGCTGCTCTGCTCTTGTTCAGCATGGCCTACTACTAAACTAGCAATTTCATGGGATAATTCAGTAGAGGCCTCAACCTTTTTTTGCGCGGAAACTTCTTCCGCTAGTTGAACTACCGCTTCTCCACTCCTGTTGACAATATTTGATAGCCAGTTTTTGGCCTTGGCAACCAACTTTTCAGTATTTCGCCATTTGGCAAGTTAAGATAAAGATAGCTTCTTGGCGCCCATGTATTCTCTTACACCTGGAATGTAACGCAACGAAAATTGGGTAGGGTATATCTATTTATGCAACAAAACCCACATTATAGACAAACACATATATATAGCTAACTATTCCATACATCCATTTCCATTAAATCCCAAATGCCAAATACATGCTATTCACATGTCAATGCCTCAGTTCCAATCCCAAGCATACATTTTACAACAAGTACGAAATGGAAGCCAAACAGATAATAAGTGCCCTACAAGCTTACAAATTTATCCAAGAACATTATTGGTTACACAAAATAGAGTTTCAACTCAACGCAAATACAACCATGGGCATACATTCGACAAATAACAATAAAACAAAAATGAAGCCTTAGCTCCAAGTCCTCCCAAGTCAATACCTTGACGGAGGCATAACACTTGTACCTAAAATGGTTTCCCTTATAGGGTGAGTCACAGCCCAGTAAAGATATACTACACAACATATGAACCATGACAAGACTAAAGAGGACTATGCTCATGCCATACTCATGATAAAACAATTTATCTCTCTTTTTATAAAACATGCAATGCTGAAATGCAACAACAGATATAAAACCATTTCCATTTTAAACCATATCTGTTACATGAATACAGGCTCTGTGAATCTTTAGGTGAGTGTCTGTAAGTAGGCCCTAATGCACTACCACTGTCATTTTTACCAGTAAACTGGAAGGCTCGACACCTAACCGCGGGGTTCTACACCCACTACCCAGATTCACCAAGTATTCATCTTTTCACAAACAGATACATTTCCAAACATTTCTCAAAAGCAAATACATTTCCAATAAAATGAATGTAATGCAATGTCCAATGCAACAAAGGAGGAATGTGGTTTAATTTACCTAAGTCTCATGCATTTCTAAAACAATCATGGCTATCCTCTACCGATAGCCCAAAATAGATATTTCTAAACAAATATTTAAACAATTAAATTCCAAAAATTTCGATAAATACAATCTATTCCACATCTCATCAAATATGAACAACTACACTAGTTTTCATATCACAATCACGTCCGATAACCTCTCAAAGTTCATTTCTAATCGTGTCGGCTTTATTCCAACAGATACATTAAACAAAATAATACCGTTAATGCCCAAGAAAACATTATTTTCTTTCCAAACTCATTCTCCAAACATTATTCAATTATGGCATCGTATTTTGATCGAAAGCCCCAAAAGTTAAGTGTAATTCCTTTGTTTTCTTTAAAAATACTTTTTTGGTCACAAACCGGTAAAAATTTCAAAACCAATCGAATCGAAATCCGTTTTTGTTCAAATTTAAAACATAACTCTTTCATAACCTTACAAATATATTCAAAGTTTACACTTTCGCAATTTAGGCATCAACTTTTTATTTTTCTCAAAATTTCTCTTTTAAGCAAATAAATCACAAAATTTTCAAAAATTCTAATTAAATTATTTGTAACTCTAAGCTCCCTATAATCAAGTAAAAGTGCATACAGAAGTGTAGGAAAAATCCATACCTCAAGCTAGAAGCGGAAACAAGCAAAAATCCAAATTTTCGATTTTGTCGAATTTCGATCTCCACCGGTCAAAATGTTGCTCTCGCCAAGCTCTTCATTTTGGCCTCAAGAACTAGGGTCTAAAACTTAATCGATTTGGGTGGATCAAAGGTTTTATATGATGAATGTCAAATGAAAAAAAATAAAAATCTATGAGGGAGAGAGAATTGAGCTGAGAGAGAGAGAGAGAGAAAAAGAGGACCGAAAGTGGGAGAGAGAGCAAAGTAGCTCTCTGGAAATTGCAAAGAAAAGAATGGCAAGGGGTGGACAACCCCACGTGGGGGTTTATCTTTTTTTTTTATTATTATTATTTTATTATTTTCAAATCATTACAAATATCTAACTCTATATATACATTTATATATATATATATATCAATTAAAAATATGTTTCAAGATCATTATAAATTTAGTAACATAAATGACAAAAATGATATAATCTTTTCACACTATAAAATATATTTCATTTAATGGTGCACACCATAAATATTTGTAAATTACAATAATAATAATAATAATAATAATAATAATAATACATGGTTACAAACGAGTCATGATTCAATCAATTAGGTTCAAAATGAATGGAGTATAATAATTTAAATAAATCTCCAACTGAAATTAAAGTATAAATAAATTTTAAAGACTTAAGGTGGTCCCCACCATTCACATAATCGAATATGAACCAAAATGATTAAGTATGGGCTAATCAAATAAATTTTAAAAAAAAATTAAATGTATATCTCATTTATTACTCAAGACCCAAGAATTACTATAACTAAAAAAAATAAAATAAATAAATGAAATAATTTCTCCAAGCGGGGCTTACGAAATTGAAATCAAGAAATAATTTAATTTATTTTTCACCAATTTAAATAGAATGATTCACGACAGCACAACAATAATAATAAGGGCAAAATTCAATTTGATTCAACTCATTACAACCTTCTCCCCTTAAGGAATTTCGTCCTCAAAATTCACCTTGATAAAAAGAATAATGGAATTTACTCTTAACATAATCACATGAGCCTTAAACTCTTAATAGCCATTTTCACATTGAGCCATTCTTTCAATACCCCGAACACGTACTAACCTCACTTTCAAGAATTTAGCACTCTCTTACCTCCCATAGTAAAAGACACTGTAAGCAAAATCGAAACTCTCAAACTCACTTTAATCATAGAGCTGTAAACACGACAATAACTCCTCAATGAAGGTATCTAGCGTGAATCAAACAAGAACGACGAATGGTCTAATCCGATCGGCTCTACAATCGTAATAACATCTCATTCTAATTACATCCGCAAAATTATTTTACCAATATGAAGTAACAAATTTTCAGTAGGTTCAAAAACAAAATTTCTACACCCACCATCCATGATTATCAAGATACATTGTTCCACAGAAGCCACCCCTTAACTGAAAACCACTCATACTAGAATTTCAATGAACAATTTATAATAGAAGGGAAAAAAAAGTAGGTGATTCTTGCAGCATGTAAGGAGTTAATTAAAATCTAGCGAACTCGCAATTGGAATACAACCGTACTCACAATCTCACTTGAACACGTTCAAACACACCTACAAAATTTGCTTACTCCACACAACTAACTCAACCGATCACAACAATAAAGAATTCCACTACTTTGAAGAGCATTCAGAAAAGTATTCAAATATTACACACCATTAAAGATGACTCACCACAAATAATCTTTTCCATAGTCTAGTGCAACAATTTACTTAATATACATCCAAAGTGATTATATCAAGACTCTTAACCAATGAGAACACCCTCCCTTTAAAGACACAATTCAATGATATATTTTGTAATCGCAACTGTCACACGACAAGTAACTTATCTCAATATTAAAATGAATTCATACGCGTTTACCCAATTGAATAAAACTGTCACAGACAATGACTTCAAATATTTCATCCCATGAGAACCTCCACTCATCCCCTAGTACAATCATATTCTTCCCTGAATTATTCCAGAAACAAAATTCACAGATCACCTTAGCCTCAACTGCTTCACTTGAACAACAAGAAACACCAACCCTTATGAAACATAATGCAATTGTTAGTAATGGGCGCCCATGTGGCATGACCATTTGAATTTGAATTTGAACCTTATCCAAATAGGTTTTGAAATTGAATTCAAACCTATTTAGGATAACCACTCAGGATACAGATATTATCAGTTTTAACTGATATGGATAGATAATAATAACATATTATATATCTGGAATATGGGTTATGGGTAATTAAGAGAGAAACAACGTATGATCTGAGTTTTACCCATATACTGACTCTCTCCCAAAAAGAACGATCAAGTCATTTGCACTGTGATTTGTGTGGGTGATATTCAATCTGTAATATCACTTCACTGCTGGGTTGGTTTATCAGACTCTGGAAGCATGTGATTTATCCACGAGGTTCTATCATCTAAAGGTATGATCTAAACATTTTATCCGCTGCATGTTTTATACTTTGATTTACATTGGTATCAGAGCCTAGTTAATGGATATTTTCGTGTTTCCTATAATAATGTGTATACTTTTATATGTATATGTATACATTATACGCATGAATATTTGTAGAGGAGAAAAAAATTTTATTTTTATCAAATTAAGAGCATAAATATATTTTTTATGTTCATTAATGTCTTTTTTCATACCATAAATAGTTTTATTTTGAAAAAAGGAGTCCGGCAGTACAAAAATCGGACCAGAAAACACCCTGAAAGGCGGCGCGTGGTCTGCATGCGCCACCTGACGCCGTGCGCCGTTTCCACGCGCTCCCACGCGCAGCCACGCGCTCCCACGCGCCAGATGCTCTGCCGACGCGCCTGCACGCTCCCTCACGCGCGCGTCCGCGGCGCTGTCCACGCACGCCGTGCCCTGAGCCGCGCTCCGAGCCGCGTGCTGAGCCGGGCTCGCTGAGCTGCACCGTTTTCCTTCGCCAGCTCGGCTGGCTTGGCTGCTGATGTGTTAGGCGCTGTTTGTTTTGTTTTTAATTCTAAATCGCGTTAAATGGTCATAATTAATTCATTACATATTTGTTTTATGCGTGGCTTGTACTGTTAGACTCACAATTAATTTTTCTACATTCTGTAAAATTTTGAAAGTTTTACGAAAATATAAAATATTTTTTCTGTGTTAATAATTCATGTTTTATGCTTTAAAATGCTTCTGGTATTGCATAAATAATTTTCTAGGGTTGAAATTTTTATTGTAGACTTTTGAAAGGTTTTATTATTTACTGGTTATATTGTCTCATTTTATCAGTTTATGGATTTTTTATTTCTAATTTTTTGTGTATTTATTAGTTATTTAAAATTTCAGAATATTTCAGAAATATTCCAGAATATTTCAGAATGTTGTACATTTTAATTATGGCATAATCTGAATATTGTTTCTGTT